GAGTTTCCATCCAGCATAGCGTCACTTATCGATGAGGTTTAATCAAGCTGTGGCGTTGATTTTTATTGCATCAAGTTCCAGCCATTAAAATTACCAATAATTAATGGAAATGTTTAAAGCACTTTAGTAAGATGCCATGACAATGTTGGGACGATTTTTCGGACTTGGAATATTTAAACAATTAATCAAACTATTTAATATTGCACGTTAATGGAGCAGGCATACAGCGCGATGTCACTCTAACACGTTAGATGAGATTCCACCTGAACGATACCGACTTTAGTTCCAAATTGAAACTCAAAGAGAAAGAGCAAGAACGAGTTAGTGAGGGTGCTGGCAAATAATTGGCCTTTCGTCAATGAAGCACTATGGCTCTGAAATTCTGAGCCTCTGCAGTCGGAAGCTGTTTTATGTAGGCGACGTGTTGATTTTCTGGTAACGCCAAACGACGCTTATACAGTCATTGGCATGTCAGCAGAATAGTGACTACCCTCCAACTGAAACAGGCAAACCTTACTGGTCCATGGCCCAATTCAGAGATAGAATAAAAGTCGTAATGCATTCTATACTAAGTGCCGGATAAGCAATCTATCACTCTGTTGGGCGATTTCACTGTGCATGTCCGAGCAGACATATTGGAAAAACGTGACTGGAAAAACGGCTCTAGCGATTTTAGCGACAACGGCATGAAGTTGTTGCGGTTTTGTGCTCACAGCGAACTTTCCTAAGTGAAAATCTTTTTTCAGGATCGAAAGGTACCTCAGTATGCCTGATATAGTGAAGGTTCAGCACATAAATCAATGATCAATTTGATTATCGTATCCATCCTCCGTCTTACGACGGTCCACAACGGTTGTTGGAGTTAATAGAGACTCAGGGATGTGGGCCTGTCGTCACCTTATTGCTGGTACCCTCCACAACAAACGATGGAGTACTAAACGAGAACCTGGCTCCAGACTCAGCCAGAGAATCAAAAAGGAAATAGCAACTTTTGCAAACGCGAGCGAGATATCTGCAGCATCATGGCACGACGATTTGAACAGATGGCAGTGACGACGGCTGACGTGGAGACCAAGGAAAGCTCTCTAAGGGCGACTTAGCCATCACTGCTACCGCTGAACCCTGCAGACTAAAACGGGCTGGCTTGTTGTCAGGGGGTAAGAAATGGACGCCAAAGGCTGAACTGTCAGTCAAAGACAAGACGACTACATTCAAGCGTTTGCTTAGAGACTGAGAACCTTCATATCGTCTGCACTACGAACAAGGCTACAGTAAAAGCGGTGGCAAAGCGAAAGCTGATTCCTGGGGAGTTCAGTGAAGCACTAAAGTGGAATTTTTGACCGCACACAGGCAATTCAGTATCATCCGTCTCCAAGTTGGAAAAATTGTCAGCCCAGGAGTCGTGAATCATAAGCTCGGACGCCTTCTTATTGAGGAAGATGACACACTTCACACTTTGAGTGCAATGTTCATATCGATGAAGTCATACTGGAAGTACAACTAAACACGGATACCGCAAAACTGTTTGATGAAACAGAGAAGATCTGGAAGACATGAACCAAATGTTCGGTACTGACCTGTCATCTAGCAAGCGCTTAACACCGCAAAGACCAGATTTCTCGTCGTATACACCGCTTCCTTGCTCCTAATTGCCATTTCAACCAGTGCCAATTGCTGCTCGTCTATCATCATTTATTCATTAAACCTATTATCTTTCATCACGAATGATATTTTGGAAACTCCATTATACTGAGCTGTGCGAAAAGACAGTGTTTCGCTTAGCCGTCACTTTTACTATTCATTTTATATTGTTAGTATGTTTTAAATGTTGTACGAACTATACAGCGACTACTATGCATCGAGAAAGCTTCGCGAAAGTGTCAATAAAATGCCGAACTTTGGAAAATAATTAAACACTAATTGCTGTGTGACAAACAAGCATTCAGGATTATGCAGAAGGCTGTTGTGCTATTTGATAATGTGTAATAACCTGTGTTTGATAATCTATCCATCAGTTGTTATTTCCTGTTTTCTCTAAAACTAAGCAGTGCATGAGCCCCTTAGCTACTCGGATTAGCAATGGACATCAAAACTTGTTTTATACGTTAGGTTCGGCTTAGCCCTTTATATCTGTTTGTGCAGTGCATTGTGTCAGGCCGTGGATGAATGCCGCTTGTCGCACGGTTGGTTAGAAAAGATGCAGCGGGAGTGAAATTAAACATGGCCATTACATTGTGGAATATTATTGACATGTCACTCAGTCACTGACCTCTGAACCCAAAGAATGCATTAGGTTAAACATATTTTGGGTACCGGCAACGAGGCATGTTATCTATTATTTGCCAAAGTGTAATTACGACTGAGTCAGTGTCCTTGTGCTGGTTACACAGCATTCTTACTGAACGAGATATCCGTGATATATTAATCATGCGGATGTTTATGTAAAATGATGACTTTATGGTCTGTTGCACTGCTGCTGACCTTGTGCGAGTTTAACTTGTCTAAACTCTTGCATTCTTCGTCTAGATATTCAGTGGCATGATGCCTTTTGTATTTCTTTCCATTAAAATATGAACTGTGATCTAATTTAGCTCTTTTATTTAAAGCCAGATTTATCGATCATCGATATTTGAGTTGAGCTGAAACAAGAGAGCTTTAATATTAATGAAACTTTATCGTAGTAAACCTTTTTGATCTATTCTTCTTGCATACTAAGCACTGCGGATGACATTGCCCTTCTTCGCACATCTGTCTCTGGTCACAGAAACAGTTCACTACTTTTTCTCAATCTTCAAACTCAGGAACTTTGAGCTGCAGTAACATCTAGTACAAATTTGGAAGACTGCCTGGCACCATGCCGGTTACCTGCCAAACACTGTAAAGGACATGCTTATAAAAGAAATACAGCCCTGCATGAAATGGGCTTTCTTAGAT